GTGAGTTCTCACTTGATTCGTCGTCGGACATCGTTAAAGGTGAGCTTACGCCTGATACAACTAAACCACCTTTGGCAACCTCTGTTGCTTCATTTTGCAACAAATGTTGAGCTGGTATGATTGTATTAAAGGCAGTAAGCACATTTCCGACAAACAACTTGCAATCGTCGTGATCCACCCAAGCTCTTTCATTTAAAGCATCTTCCACGTAACACTTAACAAAATTAATAGGCCAGTCTTTTTTGTCTTGGTATGCTCGAGCTAATAAGTTAGCAGCTAAAACTGGTACTTGCAAGTTTGTCCTGGTTTTGATATTGGTATTTGATTCACGTTTCAACAAACTGCACAAGGCTGATGTAATTGTACTATTCAGGAATATTTTAGGTCTCAATTTACCTAAATAGCACAACCCGAAGTACAAAACCGAATCAAACTTCCACCTGGGACTTTTCATTAATTTTAAAGCCCCACAAATGGTATTGACAACAGTCTCAGTTTGATTATCATCATGAGCTTGTAGAACTAAAATAACTAATTCAGGAGCTTCAAATTCAGCCGTATGAGCCTCCCAGGGTTCTACAACAGGCGCAGTGACAGTCGAAGCGCTTTGGGGTAAAGGTCTTGTTAGAGCAGTTACTAATTTTGGTTTTTTGGAAGGCACCGCACTAGCGCTCGACGTTGGGGCTTCACGTTTGCTAGCAATTAGGGAAGAGACTTTACTAGAGCTTGAGGAGTCCCACTGAGGTTTGGAAATGGGCATTGAGGTATTGCGTTTGTCTGAAATATCTTTGGAAGAGCTTGACGACTGTTTGGAACCCAAGGCAAACAAATCTCCTGCATGGTGGGATAATTTAGATTTACCCGAACGTTGGGAAGGGTTTAATTTACGATCCATTTTTAACAACTATTTTTATCTGAATTACTTTTATCAATTTAATATTAATGTGTCGCAAGTTCGCTGTATCATAAATTTCTTTTGAATTTTGATGCTTTTCTATATAATCAAGAGGTAACATCAAATCTTCATCACGATACTCAACATCACATAAGTACAAACCATGAGGTGGCATCGATCTTACACTGGTACACCAGGAATATGGTGAGGGAACTTGAAGCATCGTAATGACATCTTGTTCAGTTATTCTGTGCTGTGCGACTGCTAATAAGACTCCTACCATGCGCCTCACCTAAAGAGAAAGAAATATACAACATATTAACTAGTTGTAAGTACCATTTTACCTTAAGGAAATTAGCATTTATTTTCCTATATGTATACATAATCAACTCAATCAATAAGAATTGAATTTCATCTATTTAAGCAATGTTCGAAAGTTTAGAGTTAGAAAATAAACTTTTCTCCAATTGATGTATTTCAAACGTACCTGTAGATTTTTTGGTATTTTGTAAGTAGCTACTGATTATAGTTGACGATCACACTTAAATAAAATACATTTTTAGAAACATATAAATGGATGAAATGGATGAAATATGTTAACACCAAATATTAGGAAAAGGTAGTCTTAAAGTAATTTATTCAGTGTAACGTCAAATCCTTTTTTTATTAATTCAGTAGATACCTACAAAACACCAAAATAACAACATTAATGCACTCGGCTTAGAATCGCGAAACGGCGCGCAGCGCAAACTTCGAAGTCCTACAATATGTTATTATGTTATCTTGGAATAGGAACTCTATATTTATTTAAGTTCATACAAAAGAACATAAAAATTCCAACATTCATCCAGCTGTCCTGCTAAAACTTTTCAAAATTAAGTAACTAAAAGTAGGGCAGATGTTTTCAAAAGAAAAATAACATTTTTGCAAATTTTGAAAAAAAAAAAATGACTTTTTTGAACAATTTTGAACTTTTTTCTAAAACAATCGCGCTGCATTTGATGATCTAATGACCATTTCTGACCGCGAAATGGCATTGTTTTTTATTTTTTGTATTGGATCTGCGGAAACCCTAGACCTGCCTTCTCAAAAATCACCAGCTGTTTATTTCGTCAATACAAGTAAAATGTTTTTTGAATCATTCAAATCGGACGCTGCGTTCTCTCGAAAACTCGATTTCTACTTTCTGCCCTCTTTACTTAGTATCTCCGAAAAGGCTGGACCTGCCTTTACCAAAAACTAATCAGCACATCTCCCTATTAATAGGAATCGAATGGTTTTTGAACCATTCAAATCGGTTGATCCGTGCGCCCGAAAACTTGGACGAAAAGTTGTATCCATACATACATACATACATACATACACACACACATCCATTTTTTCTAAGGTATGCCAAAACGTTCAGAAACCCCTGAAACGTGAAGATATGCAAAAACTTTCAACTTCGGTAATAAAATTTAATAAAAGCACCAAGCCGGATTTTTTTGCGAAAACAAACTTCTCCATCAGGAAGTAGGTATTATATCTATCTATTGCTATATATCTATTGCAGATAGGTATTATATCTATCTATTGCTAAATCTATTTTTATCTATTTTCATTACCTGTCGATATAAAAACGACTTTCCCTTAAACTTTATATCCCAGTAGTCAAAATAATTGGAAGCGTTATTGAAAGGCAAACTGGTGCTAGTTGATTTCTCTATCGAGACTTCATGTATGTATCTCAATGTGTGCACTGGAGGAGATCCTTTTGACAATGTTGTCATGAAAGTTCTAAAATCATGATAGCCTTCTAATAATTTGGCTGCTTTGCGGAAGGCTTCAACATCAAACTTAGGATTCCTAAAGGATAAAAGATAAATAATATATTAATATGTTGCATCATTCTATTTATTGTTCTATTATTCTATTATTCTATTTATTATATTGTTGTATTATTCTATTTATTACTTACGGAATAAATATACATCTATTCTGTTCTTCGATGGGTGTTTCAACAAAATATTGCAAAATAGTTGGTCTATAGTTATTTAATGAATATTCTTGTTTTAGTATAGCCAATCTGAAATTAAAAATAATCTCACAATTATAAATCAAGATTTTATGTTTCTCAATGTAATTTTACAAAATAAATTTTAGTTTGTAGTTATATTTGGTTATTAATTTTTTAAATTTATTCTCAACCACTGTATTAATCTAATAAGAGAAACAACAACAATCTCTAGATATCTTACAACATTTTAGTATTCAGTTTAAACAAATGTATTTATTATCAATCAATTATTATACCTGTATACGTAAGTCCTGCTCACCGCGTTAAATCTGCAATGAAAAGTTGGTGGCACTAATCTTGTTTTGATAACTCGCACCAGATCATTCTCCTTACGAAAAAAGGAGTTCAGGCAAACAGTTATATAATGGCAATTGTAAATTTTTGGTAAATCGAAGTGGCAAGTTGTGTTCAGAGCATGAACACCTGTATCAGTCCTGGAAATGGCATAAAATTATTAAAGATATGGAAATAATACATTTATAATATGGTATAGAAATTAATTTATATTCTGCACAATGCACAAGTTGCTCAATGTATCCATCTTAATTGTGCAATTATTCTTGACCAGAGATGTTATTTCTGGTTACAGTTCTAAAGTTCAAATGAACAAAATCAATAAAGATCAACCACAATAACCCAAAAAGGGTCACAGTTTGATTGAATCTCTATGTATTACTCAAACGCACAAATCAAATTGCATAAGATAGATATTTTTGTTTATGATTACAATCAAGTACATGACCCTATTTTGGAATGAAAAAAAAATTCCTGGTTATTGTGTATAATTGAATACTAAATTTTGATACATTATAGAAATCTGCAGGAATTGAATGGGAGATATTAACAGCCATGACACAAGATATCATAAGCTGAAATTATACCCATCGTAGATTATCACCTGCTGGAAATGGAGACTGCAGGTGGATCATGATTATTAAACCGTCCCAATGCAAGTTCAATAACTCCTTGAACAGTACTTTGATCAACTACATATGTATCAGACTTAGGCACATTCTTTTGAACACCTCTGCAATTAGAAACAACATTTAAAGGATGACTTATAGGTTAGGTTTTCAATAAACAGATTTATAAATGAAATAATTCAATATATAATATGTTAATTAATATCTATTCGACCTGAAATACGTTCCTATATACGAGTAATTTAATAAATATCTGTGCATATTATGTTTTATATATTATTACTAATTTTTCAAGGAGTATTAAATATAACCCTGTACAATGGTTGCATGTATACACAAAAAAAGAAAATTGTTGTAGGTATAATAGATACACAAACGTACCTTAGATTTTATTAGTTTTTAATTAATTTTAGACTCAATTTACGTTTTTAAAAGTTATTGACATAGATTTTTAATAATATTTATTTTTAATAAATATTTTGTAGTTGTCATTATTTTTATAAGTTGGCCGCCATGTTGGTGATCTTTAAAATGAAAATTTTAAATTTTTATGCAAAAAACTGGTTTTCAAATAAAAGAATAAAAAACACGATTTTATATTATTAATAGATAATTAAAATATATACGAAGATATATATACATGTGTAATATATATTTTTTAATCACGTATTGCAATTAAAGTATACTTCTACACTTTTACACATCTACATCTATTAACATTGCCTAATTGATGTTTATTAACTATATAAATTAATCAAATTGTTTATCTCACTATAATTAGTACTAGAATTTGATTAAGAAATTATATTACATAAAACATTATGCAAATATATATTTATTTTAAAAACACCGCCATATTTTTTTTGTTATGAAGTTAGCTGCATATTGTGGAATATTGGCTGCAAGCACATTTAAATTTAAATAATGTTTTAGTTAGTATTAAGCATTTCATAAATTAGTTGATAATTTTGAATAAGTATTAATAATCCTATTTTTAATTATTTTAGGCTTTGTGTAATGAATTAAAATGTTTTTTAAAAATTGAACATGTATTTTTTATAACAGTTGACAACAGTGATTGCTGTAGCTGTCAAATTTTTCAAAATGTCAGAATTTATAAAAAATACATAATTTTTAAGATTAAATAATAAATAAAATCGTGATATAAAAATAATATTAGTCGTTAATAAATATGTAATATATTATATATATTAAATTACCATTTGATGATATTAATACTAGCCAAAACCTTAAACCAAAGATAACCAATATGTTTAAACTTTATATTTTACTATTATCTTTAGTTCTAATAATTTGTGATACTCAAAATGAGCAAAAAGTCTGTTCAAATCAAGGTTCTGAATGTGAAACCATTAACATTAATAAATACAACGAGCACACATATATTTTCTACGATGTAAACAAGCCCGAAGGCTTCAACTTACGGAGAGATGTATACATAAGAATGGCTACATTTGTTAAAATTTTAAACAAAATGAAAATTAAAAGATTTGTACTAGTACTTCCACCATGGTCAGATCTGTTTCATTGGAAATCCAAACATTTAAATCAAAATTCAATCCCGTGGAATGAATTTTTTGATGTAGATAGTTTGAATAAATATGTTCCCGTTGTGGAGATGAAAGATTATTTTGCATATCATAATATTTGGAAAAAAGAAAGTCCTGTGATTGATGAGATTTTTATATTGAAACATTTCGAAGAGATGTTTGAAACTGGTAATTTTCAAGATAAATATGAGTATACAAATGATTGTAAAGAAAAAACTGAGTTGAATGATTTATGGGGGTACATAATGTAACTTTTGGTACTGTAAAGTGTTTAAAATTTCAAGGAACTACTAGTTTGTTGAAGAATATAATCAAAGACAGCAAAGCCAAGTATATATTAATGCATACATCAGTTTATATTTAATAACAATAACTTATATCATTTAATTATTTTAGTTCAATAATGTTTGCTCATGCTGAAATACCTTTGCATGATACGTGGGGCTCTCCTGAGTTTTGGAGAGCTCGTAGAAGTATGAGGTTTAGTCAAAACTAGTCAAACTTGCCAATGATTTTAGAAAGACTTATTTAAACTCAACAGATGACAATGATAATACTTTAAGACCTTTAAGTTGGAAAGATGAAAAGGTACAAAAAATAGATGATGTTTAAATAATTTTATATACATATATTAATTTTTAGTATAATAGAAATGCAATTGGTGGAAATTATATATCAGTGCATTTGCGCAGACAAGATTTTTTATGGGGTCGCTCAAAACACATTCCAAATATAAAGTATGCAGCACAACAAATTGAAAAAAACTGCAACAAACTACAAACATTTACTGTATTTTTAGCAACAGATGCCTCCTCTATAGGTATTTTATATTGCAAATGTATTTTATACATAAAAAGTATTTTATTTCATGTTTTTTCCAGAAATAAGTGACTTGAGGTCCTTTTTGGAACCAAAAATTAAAGTCTACACTTTCAAACCAACATCGGATATAGAAAGAAAATTAAAGATGGAGGCAAAGCGATTGTAGAACAAATAATTTGTTCCCATGCCAAATATTTCATAGGGACTTATGAATCTACATTTTCATTTCGAATACAAGAAGAACGTGAAATCTTAGGCTTCCCAAAAACAACAACCTTCAATAGACTTTGTGGAGACAAAGAGACTGATAAAAAATGTTCTCAAACAACTGTATGGAGTATAATGTTTTGATAATAGAATTTTTTATTATACAAAATATATATAAAATTTTACAAAATCACAGATTTTATGTTTGTTGATTTGTGGACATATCGTTTTTGAGCCAGTCTCGATACAAGTTTAATTGTTCTTTCCAATAATTTGTTAAATCTTTAAAAAACATTTTAGGATTCTTGACACATTCTTCAGGAAGTCCTGGAATGTCTAAAAGACCTGTTCTGTGGACAGTGACTCGATCACGAAGCTTTTTGGTCATGAATTTCCTAAAACCAAATTATGTGAGCATAATTTTTAACATAAAAATGACTGTTAGCATATACTTACATGAAGACATCAAGTACGATGTTAACAAAACTGGGAGCATTACAAAATCCAGTCTCTTCACCATTGTTGGATAAAACTTCCAACTATCAACTAACTTCTTAATCATCCCCGGATGCAACTGCAAAGCATGCCCTAAAGTAACATTTCAAGATCAAAAATAGCAACAACTCCATATACAGATACACTTTCATCCAAATGTAAAGCTAAATCCATAATCATTTGCCCGATTTTAAAAACATCATCTTGTAAATGCTTTTTGGGATCATGTGCAGCCGCTTTAATTACCACAATCAATCTATTATGAGCATCTTTTGTTTTTAGAGGTAAAAACACTCCTAAATCAACGAGTTCTTGGATTTCACACAAATGAGGGTCTCTATTTTGGTACCACTCCGGTACTTTAGATCTGGCTAAGTAGAAATGCTTGATTTTGGCTATTGTTTTCGGAATATCAAACTTGCAGCCTCTTAAAAAATGTAGGATTGATACTGGATCGTTTCTGGCTTTTATATGAGGGTTGTCTTGGATCCATTCTTGGATTTCCCTGATACTATCATTCCGGATTGATTCAGTTTCACCCAAATATTCTTCAGCATATAAATAATCTTCGGCAGACAAAGTACATTTATAAAGTTCTGACATTTTAAAAATACTTTCTTATATATAAAGAATTGCAATGGTAGATTTACTCGTTGATTGTAATTTGATAAGTTGCAAGGTAAGCAAATGCAAACACTAAAATTTTATGCTTACCAAGCTTGAATTGTACATGTATATTATTTATTAATTAATTCTAACTAATTATAAAAATCTTAGTACAAAAGCTAAAAAATGCAGTTGATAATACTGACTAGAGGAAAGACCAGAAATGACATTGTTTATACAAAATATATTTAGTAGTACAAAAAAACGTAAAAATATAATGAACTTGGCATGATATTTAAAACTAAATAGAAAAATTGTAAAATAAAAATCATGCAAAAGACATTTTTACTGATAACATAAATTTATTTAGTGTTGCCTTAGTTAAATTGGATTCTCATGAGAAAAATGGCGCAAAATTTAAATTTTATTAGTTTTATTTAAATATTTATTGAAAAATACATATTATTAATTGTTATACTATTTATAATTCTTCAAAATTGAAAATTAAAATGAATTTAAATATTCAAAAACATAAAACTAAATATTCATTCATTCATTTTTATTAGAATCTTGTTAGACTTTTCTGATGAGTATAAAAGCGCCAAATTTAAATTTTATTAGATGTATTCAAATATTTTATAAAAACTAGATATTATTAGTTGTTGTACTATGTTTATTTCTGAATTTAGTTGAAAATTAAAAAGTAAATTCAATTAATAAACAAAATCATAAAACTAAATATTTATATTAGAATTTCTTTTTAGAACTTTTCAAAACGTCAAAAAGTGAGGTTATGTCCAAACATGTTATAACCTGTGAACAAAAACACATTATTTTTTAAAATAAAACATTATATTTAACGTTTACTTAATTACTTTCATATCAAATTATTATTAAACAAAAAATACACTTATTATCAATAGACTAGTTAACAAATATCATCTATTATATTATCATCATGGATAATTCCTTGGACAAGGCAGAGTTTTCTGACAAAGACTCCAATTCAGTCGATGAAAGTACTTCTTCACAAAAATTTATTTTCACAAGATCCTGATGAATTTTTCTTTGAATCTGATCATTTAGCTTTGAGGAACAATAAAGATTATCAGAAATTATTAAGGGCTTACATTTTGCTCAGCGCACAGAAAGATGAAATGCTAAAGGTAATAAATCAGACAAAGGTGGATAAATTGAGATCAACTATATAGTTTTGTAATATGTATAAGAAAAGTCTAAAATTTGTTTGCTTTGCAGAATTATGACACACTAAATGCAGCCCTAACATTGTCACAAGAAAAACCTGTAGAGTTTGTTAGTTCTTTACGAAGTGGGGAGTTAAAATTACCTGACAGAATCACACTAGTTAATGTAATTTATTATAAACAAGCGATATATATATATATATATATATATATATTATATATATATATATTATATAATTATATATATATATATATATATTATATATATATATATATATATATATATATATATTTCTAGATTCCAAAAATTGATTTGCAACAGTACGAGAATAAAGTTCCTGAGTATTTATTAAACAAAGCAAAAAGTATTTACAATGATGATAAACAACAAAGTACATCTAATGAAAAAATTGATTCTTATCACTTGACAGAAAACAGACATTCTGCAAAATCTGATAAAGTATTAATTTTGAAGTTTTTATCAACTTCAAAGTATGTTATGTTATTTTTATCAATTTTATTATTAGTATTTTTTTTATAGTTGTGGACAGTTGCTGAACAACGCAGATTGGAAGAATTATTAGTTGAATTTCCTTCAGAAGAAGTTGAAATGCGTAGATTTGCAAAAATAGCAAAAGCTTTAGGTAATAGGACTACGAAACAAGTGGCAAGTCGAATACAGAAATATTTTATCAAACTGCATAAGGCAGGTTTGCCTGTTCCTGGTAGATTGCCCAGGATGCGTCCCGGAAAGGTAACAATATTAATTGTCTTTTGGCTTTTAGCAACAAATATGTAAAATGTTTTTGTTATTTATCTAAGTTTTTGGTTTCAGAGGTCATTAAAAAATTCTGTATTTTATAATTCATTCAGTTTGATAAAACCTTCCACATTCTTTCCAACATTAACAATACCAAATGGGTTACAAAGTTTGCACAATCAGAATACTCAGAATGTTATTCCGCAAGTACCCAAAGAGGTAAATTTTTATATATATATATATATATATATATATATATATATCTTATATATAAAATTCTTCTGTAACAATGTAAGTTTCATTAATTCTCCTAAACTATAATTCGGATTTTCATGAATCTTCCTGAAGTTTGTTCGGGAAATTTTCTAGAATGTTTTGATTCATAGAAATATAGTTAGATTGTAGAAATAAATAGAAAAAATTACAAAAACCGCTTATCATTGTTTGCCCTTGAAAATATTTGAAGCTTAGTTTGACATTAAAAACAATTGAAGACTGTCATTTGCCAAACATTTCTATTCACTTACAGGCTAAAGCAATATTAAAATATAATAAATTCATGATTATGAATAAGGAAAATGTGATGTCTACATTATTAATACCGAAAAGCAGCTGAGATGTGCCAAAAATTAAATTAATATAAGATGCAAATAATATAACATGCGTTTGACAGTCTGCGCATGCGTCTGACGCGCACGGCGAATCGTGTTCTCAACTGCGCGTAGATTGCTTTTGCTTGCAATAATTTTGTTTGCGCACTTTGCGAACAGATTTGCCGTACGCATTCGTGCAAAGGAGACGAACCATAAGTGATTGCGCTCAAAAATATTCAATTTGCGGTCGTTTTGCCTTTCTATACTAAGTCACAATACAAAAAAAATTACTTATTCAAAAAATTATTTAGAAGTTTCATTGTGTCAAAAATTCATATGGTTGGCATTTTGTACGGAATATTTACTCAATGGGGCGCTTCGGGTCTGAAATATTTTTTACTGTTTTCCAATTCGTTTGGAATTTTGGAATTAGGCTCATCTTACTCTCAAGTTCAAAAGTGTCAACAATTTAGACTCCTTTGCACTACCCGGGGGGATGCCATTTCTTTTCAGTGATGTAATAACGTTGGGTGTGGATAAAAGAACTAATTATAAGAGAAAAATGTTTAATAATGTTTTTCAAAAAAGCAAATACTTTTCAAGTTACTGTTAGCTACTGAAAATTTGTTTCTTTTTTTGCGTTTTTCATCGTTTTTTGCTAATATCTTCAAAAATATACATTTTAACAAAAATCATATATTGAACAAAATTATATCAATTAAAATCTTAATAAATCGCTATTTTATAGTGTTTTAGGAACATTATTAGGCTAGGTATGAAAATGGGTTTTTATAGTGCTCAAAATAAGCTTTAAAATGAGTACCTTCTGCGTGTAAAATGAGTAAACTACGATGCAAATAAAAGACGCACATAATGTTTTTTCATTTAAATCAAATAGTTTTTCAGTGCCATTTCCACCAAATTTAAAAATAATCGTATTCCATCTAGAATTAACTTGGTTTAAGAGATCTTAATGGATTCTGGAAAATACCACAACTTTAGTACAAACGATTTTCAAAAAACTCATGATTTCATGAAAAAAAAATCTTAAAAAAAAACATCCAATTTTCATTATAATATCTCTGAAAGAATACGTATAAAAGTATATATATATATGAAAATTCGAGGTATTTTTCTGACTAATTATTGCTGTTTATTATTTTTACATTACACAAATATTGATAGAGGTATTAATTAAGGAGTGCACGGCTGTCCAACAAGAGGTCTTTCGAGCCCTTTAACCCTTCGCCGTTTCACAATAAAAGAAGTTACGGTAAAATTTATGATAAAGAAAGTTGTAGCTCATTTAATCACCTTTAAAATAGTGTATTACAAGTTCTGATAAAATTAGAATTAAAAGAGTAATAATCCAATTAATGCGGTGGATGGTGACGGAGTGCAAATTGTTTTTACTTCTGAACTTAAGACAAAGATTAGCCTATTCCCAAAATATCAAGTAAATTAGAGCACAGTAAAAAAATTTAC